GGGACAGGGCCGGCGCGGGGCCGGCGGGCAGCGAGCGCCAGCGGGAGCCGCACTCAGCGAGCCGTGCGCGGAGCTCGCCAGGTCCGTGCGCGAGGCTGGAGGGTGCGGAGGGGCCGGAGGCGCGGGACTTGGGCGCTCAGCTCGACTCTGGAGCGATCCCTGCGGCAGGGCCCGGTGCCGGGCCGGGCTTCCCGCTCCGGAAAGTTTGCCGCCGCCACCCTGGGAGGGCTCTGCGGCCGCCAGGAGAGAAGGGGAGGAGGGAGGGACTGCGGCGGGGAGGCGGCGGCGGCGCCAGGCGGCCCGGGAGCCTGGGCGGCGGCGGGCGGGGTGTCGGAGGGCCAGGGCGCAGAAGCCGGGCCCTCGCCTCTGCGCGCCCCGTCTGCCCAGTAACGCGCCGCCTGCTTCTTCTGCAGACTCCAGAGCGGGTCCTCCTCCCGCCGTGCCCGAGCCGGGCCGTGGGGGCAGCATGCCCGCGCGCGCCGCCTGAGGACGCCGCGGCCCCAGCCCCGCCATGGGCGCCCTGGCCTGCGCCCTCGCTCTCTGCGTGGCTATGGCCGTCGTGGCCGACGCCGCCTCGGGACCCCCAGGCACAGAGCTACGCGTCGTGCGGAGAGCGGCAGGTAAGGACTCGACGGGAACAGGGGGCCGGGGCAGGCAGGCAGCGGTGTCGGGACGGAACCGGCGTCTGGGCTGGCGGGGGCGCCGGGCGCTTTCCCTGGTCTGGAACCGCGGGGCAGGACCCGGGTTCCGCTGCCCCCTCTTCTCGGGTATCGTGGCTGAAGGCGGTGCGGCTGTATGTGGGGCGCCTGGAGCCGCAGGGCTGCCACCCAAGTGCGAGGCCGCCGCGGGGAGCCGGGCGCAGCGGTGGAGTCCCAGACCCTGCCCCCCGCGGTTCCCCAGCGGAGTCGCTGTCTGCCTCCGGGCGCCGTCGGGAGGGAGCGGGAGCCGAGTTTCCAAGATTCCCATTGTTGCTCCGCGGGATCTGCGCCGACGGAAAGTTCGTATTGTTGGCGGCCCCCACCCCCCGCCTCCGCCCCCGCCAGAGCCAGCTCCGGCCGAAGCGGGAGACCGGGTGCTATGGGTATGGAAGCGCGTCAGCCAGGCCGTGTTCGCAGCCGCGACACTGCCCGACCGTCCAGTGGCCCGCGTGACCAGCTGACACCCCCTAGTGCCAACACTCCCCAACCAGGCAGGCTCTAGTGCCCTCGGCCTGAGCGGGGGGTGAAGGGACTTGCCCCTGGGGGTGCCTCCTGGCGGGGGCGCGGGGAGGTGTGGGGGCGCAAGTCCAAGGAATTTGGAGCCGCGGGCCTAGGCTGGAGGTCAACGTCCGGAGGGACTGCGCGGGTCCCCGCAGAGGGCTCGTGATGGCAGGGCAGGGGAGGGGCAGGAGCGCGTCCTGCGCGGAGCCCCGCCCGCACACGCGCCAGCCCCTGAGGTGCGCGCACGCCGCC